CTTCTTCTGTCTCTCTGTGCACAGATATTTCTAGCTGTCGCAAGTATCAGTGTTACTGGTCTCATACCATTACTACCTGCCTTATGTACTATTGTTTGGGGCGGTGTAGGACGGGCGGGGGGGGGGGGGGGGGGGTTGTTAGTCGGAGGCTTTAAGTCCGCATGGTTGGCTAGTGGGTGATAATGACGCTGGTTCTTATGGTGATAGATGTTTTGCCTTTTCCTCTTTCAAGACGTTTAGATTTGCTAATTGTGGCTGTCATTTGAAGCATTCTTCATTAGAACCACACATCGGGGGCATCACTGGATATTGTGCTAGTTTCCTAATTGTCACTAACCTACAAGCTGGAGAGGATTCTAGACAAGGAGTTGGACGGTCAGTCGTTGGTTCTGGTGCCGTTCCGTGAGGAGTCGTCTCTGTGCCTCTTTGTCATGCAATCTGTCCACTTTTGAGACAGGGCAGGGATGGTGTAGATGAGCGGGTTGAGGGCAGCGTTGATGGGGAGAATCAGTACCGTTGACCAGGCGTAGACTTCCACCCCGAGTTGGTGACCATCCAGGGACATGAGTCCCATGACCCCGATGGGGAACCAGCACATGAAGTCGGTCACAGCTATGAAGGATAAATGTTTGGCCACTGTAAAGTCTTGAGCCCTTCTACTGCTGATGTTGGTTAGCGCCCCTTGGGCTACCCTCATTCCGGCCATTGTCCTGTATATGATAAACTGACCAATAGCGATCATGATGAAGAGTACGAAGTTGACGAAAACGAATACAACTGTGGGGAACTCCCAGCCGGGCTGGCGTCTGTTGATGAGGGGTAAGCCCAAGCACATGCCGTTGGACGTGTATGTCGTCCAGTATTCGAACGGAGGCAATAGGGGGATCATTGCTAAGCCGAACCCAACCACCCAGGCCGTGGCGCAGCAGCCAACTATTAGAGGTTTCCGCATTTTCAGCTGCCCAAAGGGGAACTTGATGACCAGGAACCTGTCGACGGTGATCAGAAAGATGAAGAAAGTGGACACTTCTCTGGACATTGTAGATAAGAATCCGGCCACACGACAACCTAGACTGTTCCGCCATTCCATTTCATTCCACACATAAGTGCCTCTGAAGTAGGAGTCTGCCACCGCGACAATGAGAAGGTACACGCCCATGAACAAGTCCGATATGCTGAGGTGCATCACGAAATGACCATAGGCCATCTTCAGAATGTTTCTGTCGAATACAAAGCGGTACGCGATGACCATCACGTTGCAGATAACGGCCGAGCAGCCAAACAACCAGAGGAGTACCCGTAAAATGGGTTCGCTCATCAGGTCGGAGCACGAGGAGAATGGGTCTGCGGGGGCGCTACAAACGTAATTCGGCGTGTTGACGTTGTGTAACTGGGGACAGCATAACTTGAATGTGTCTGTATAGATGTTTGACTTGACCACGATAAATTTGAACGTGTTGGCAGAAAACAGCTCCACTTTAATTTCTCGGAGGTCTAACTCGTGGAGGGAGAAATCTATTGGGAACATGTTGGGTCGCATGTCTGCGATCTTTGTTCCCCTCAGGCTTAACCGTTCCAGGTTGACCAGCGGAACTAGCAGAACTGGGTGTAGCATGGAGATGCTGGTGAACGAGAGGTCGAGGTCGGTGAGGGCCGAGGTCGTGCCGTAGGTGTTGAAAGTGTCATGGTGGAGGAACGTTAGTGCCTCGTTGTGGCTGAGGTTGAGGAACTTGAGACTTATCATGTATCTGAAGATACTGGTCATGGAGATGCTTTCTATCTGGTTGTAACTCAGGTCCATGGTGATAACTGACCACAGGTCATTCTGGGAGTACATGACACTGTCCACGTGTGTGATGACGCAGCCAGAGAGGTACATTTCCAGAAGGTTGTAGAAGCGTCCTTTGGGGAATTCGGGAAACACGGTGGATATGTTGACGCCAGACAGGTCAAGGTAGCGAGTTCTAGGGTCGATGAAGGACATATCCGTGATCATGGATGGTGGAAAGTTGTGGGACACTGTGACAGTGCCTCCCAAACACGAAAACCCAGGCATGCATGACACCTTGCAGTTGAGTTCATCATCTCCGTGGGGACAGTGCGGGTGGTTGTCACAAACGTTGTCCGGATGAACACAGATTGTTGACTGAATACATTTGAAGCTTCCGGAGCAGTCGAGCGGAATTGTTTCATCCTCACCCTTGGCACAGTCGTATATCCCATTAGTGACATAGTGAATAGGGATGCAGTATGACCCCGGACACTTAACGTAGCCCTCGGAGCAGATAAAGTCTTCACAGTGTTGCAGGTGCTTGAGGTCTCGGCACCCAAGAAGCCCATCATACCTGTCCTTGATGTACACACAACGAGGTGCCCAGTTGTTGTAGATGTGCGAGATGTTATCCTCTTTTTCGTAGCATGTCGTGGACTCTAGCGCACCAATAGTTTCATCTAAAGGTCCCTCAGGACCCGAGCAGTCAACAACCCCGTCGCCTAGCATTGACGTGTAAGTGCACTGGGTTCTGTTACACGTGAACGCGCATTCGGCTATATTGTCATCGGAAACAGATTCCATTTCGGCTCTGACGTACCCCCTTGAAGTGCACGCGTTGCAGTCCACTTCACCGTCTGCAAACCAATGTTTGGGCAGGCAGCGTCCATCGTGACACAAACCATTTCGACATTTCATACACTTGTCTTCGTCGCTTTTATCCGCGCAGTCCGGGAACAGGTCGCACCTGGCTTCTTGAGGCACACACTGGCCCGTGTTACAAGTAAACTCTGCCATGGCGTCGCACTTTCGGTAATTGCAGATGGATTCGTCTCGTTTGTTCTGGCAGTGCTGGATGTGATCGCATACCAGTGCGTACGGGATCTGCGTGAGTGCCGTATCTTGGCACGAGAACATAAGGATGTTGCTGGAGGACATCAGGTTGTCGTACTCGTGGTCGACGAATACCGTAAACCTGGAGGGTTTGTTACTCGTGACGATCTGACTGGAGACAGCCACCAGGGATTTAACAGAACCGTACATCCATGTGTCCTCTATTTTAAAACCTAGTTCACCTCGGGCGATAGCCGCCCGGACTTTCATTTCACTGGGTCTTCGGATTCTAGGCATGCGTCCATTGCGAAAGGCTGGTGCTTGTTTAGACTCGCACAGATAGAACTTGGCCGTCTTGTGTCCACACCCAACACTAGACCAGGCGTCACCCTCACTTTGGTACTGAGTTCGGTTCTGCGCTGAGTTAAATGCCCGCGACAAACTGTCCTCATTAGTCCCGCCATCGTAGATCGTCAGGTTAAAGTTCCACACCACACATCCTTGAATGTGACCCCCGAGAGGTTCTCCCCCATCCCAAGCCGTGTAGGTCAGTGGCAGGTCATTGACCCAGCGAAACCTGGCGGAATAACTGCTGGGGTCACGCCTGAGACCAATAAAGACATCCACCGAGGTGTTGGAATCTCCTGTTAGGTTCAGAATCTCCTGGATCCTCGAGGGTACGACTCTCCTGAGAAAACCCAGCTCCTCTTGTGTCTCTATTGACACGAGCTCGGACTCAACACCCACACAGCTCTCCCCCGCCTGCACCCAGTTTGTAACCTCGACACTGTACAAAAGTCGGTAACATGAAATGTTGGAGATAGCGTCGGCTTCACTGCTGCCTTTAAACCGGAACCATTCTCTGTGGCATTCCAGGCAGAGCATGATAGGAATCATCTGGTTCTGCATGAGATCATCAAAAGAGGTCACCTGGACCAGGTTGTTACTGGGGAAGATAGAGAAAATCACGTTGGATTCTGATCCCACAAGAACTACCAGTAGCTTGACGTCCGTTAAGTTGAAAGCCCTCAGGTCATCGCTGTTGTTAATTTGCAGAGGAACCGCCCCGTTGACAATCATAACAATGATGTGCTGGGAGTCGGGCCGGGCGCCGAATGTGGAGTCGTTGAAGAAGTCCTGCATTCCATATAGCGCTGAAGAGGTCGGGAAGGAGATCGATACGGGATCAACAACGTCCGTTTCCAAGGCTCTCATGACGCTCTCTTTGCTGGAAAACCTATTGAAGTCGAACCTCTGACTGATTTTGTGTTTAACACTGGGGGATCTTCCCGTGGCACTGGAAGCCAGAAGGGCCACTTTGACCCTGGAGAGGTTAGTCTCTGAGGCCGGCATAAAGACATCCAGGATCATGGAGAAGAACCGCATCTGTTTGCGGTAGTGGTCAGTGCCGACGGTTTCTGGATTCAGTGTGCCCGTGTCGGCGATGAACAGCAAGTCCAAGGGCGTGGTTTGGCAGCCTGTCAGCGGGAAGTCTTCGGTTTTCCTTCGGATCACTAATCCTGAAATATTTAGAGTAATATATGTTCATTGCATCTTTATATGTCTGTCGGTCTATCTATCTATCTATCTATCTATCTATCTATCTATCTATCTATCTATCTATCTATCTATCTATCTATCTATCTATCTATCTATCTATCTATCTATCTATCTATCTATCTATCTATCTATCTATCTATCTATCTATCTATCTGTCTGTCTGTCTGTCTGTCTGTCTGTCTGTCTGTCTGTCTGTCTGTCTGTCTGTCTGTCTGTCTGTCTGTCTGTCTGTCTGTCTGTCTGTCTGTCTGTCTGTCTGTCTGTCTGTCTGTCTGTCTGTCTGTCTGTCTGTCTGTCTGTCTGTCTGTCTGTCTGTCTGTCTGTCTGTCTGTCTGTCTGTCTGCCTGCCTGCCTGCCTGCCTGCCTGCCTGCCTGCCTGCCTGCCTGCCTGCCTGCCTGCCTGCCTGCCTGCCTGCCTGCCTGCCTGCCTGCCTGCCTGTCTGTCTGTCTGTCTGTCTGTCTGTCTGTCTGTCTGTCTATCCATTTATCCATCTGTCTGTCTGTCTGTCTGTCTGTCTGTCTGTCTGTCTGTCTGTCTGTCTGTCTGTCTGTCTGTCTGTCTGTCTGTCTGTCTGTCTGTCTGTCTGTCTGTCTGTCTGTCCATCTATCCATTTATCCATCTATCTATCTGTCTGTCTGTCTGTCTGTCTGTCTGTCTGTCTGTCTGTCTACCGTCTGTCTGTTTATTCAACCCACACAACCGGCTGTTTATCATTATCAGGAGTAACTTGTATTCCTTGGTCATATCAAGAGAAAAGGGTGCTACGGGGTAAACGGAAAGATGGAGGAGAAAAGAGGCCAAGGCAGACTATGAGAGAAGATGCTGTGCAGTTTGACACCATGGAATGGAAGATCACCTGTCTGAGAAGTGATTGAAAGTTCACGAGACAACAAGATGTCAGCAGATACAGGGCTCTCTTTTTCAGGCAGAACGCAGTAGTGTTGCTTGTTGTTAAGGCGTTTCGAACGCGCTTCGTAATGCCGGGGTGCCGGGTTAGATCCCAGCTGCGGACGATTTATGTGGCGTTGGTTTCCGAGAGCTCACCCTTTAGAAAGCAGTGACGAACTACTGAACGTAACATTTGTCTATAAAAACCACAACAGCAAAAATAACAATGCTGGGGTTGGTTCTGCAACGTCCTGTAAAGGATACGCAGCCTACTTTAACGCAATGTTGAGAAGTACCGGCATCTTGTATTTGCAAATCCCCCCCCCCCCCCCCCCCCCCCCCGCTACTGTAGTAGACACTACGTGGTGCATACCGGTATTTCTTTAGACACTGTGTGGTGAGTACCGGTATTTTTTTTTTTGGATACTGTGTTGTGAGTACCGGTATCTCTTTAGACGCTGTGTGGTGTATACCGGTATCTCTTTAGACGCTGTGTGGTGTATACCGGTATCTCTTTAGACGCTGTGTGGTGTATACCGGTATCTCTTTAGACGCTGTGTGGTGTATACCGGTATCTCTTTAGACGCTGTGTGGTGTATACCGGTATCTCTTTAGACGCTGTGTGGTGCGTACCGGAGCTTTAATCTTTACTGAATAGTTGTGACTGCCAACACCACACGGCATGCAGTACAAGTAGTACAAGTAAAGGTCCCTTTTCCACGCATTAAGGCGTGTTGGGAATATAGGGCTAGACCTATATTTTGTATAGACCAATCGGCACTTTGTGGATCGTGTGGTCAGCATCACGCCGGCCGCCGTTACTTCCCAGGACTGCACCTAATTCTGACACATTGCTGGGTCGACATGGGAGTCAAGGACTTTCGTTGTTGTTGTTGTTGTAGAAAAAACAACAAAAGTCCGGCTTCCTTAAGACGCGAACCCACGAACTTCCGATCCGCAGATTCGCGGGTGTATGGCAGCCAACGCCACGGCGACTCCCATAATAGAAGTGGGGGGGGGGGGGGGGGGGGTAAACGAAGATGACAACACACCTGCGGCTAAATGCTGCACTAGTAGATGTAGCACCACTCTCCTGGACAGATTCATCACAGTCGGGGTTCCAGTAGGAGGAAGGGGTCTTGTGACTAGCTTCTGGTATTAGCAGCTGTACGACCAGTGTCCGGTCAAGAGTCTAACACTCGCAGGGTCAGAGGTCAACTTTACGATCAGTGTCCGTTCGAGGATAACTCTGCAGATTCAGAGGTTTAGGGCTGTCGTCAGAAGTGTGTCAAGTATTCCGGGAACTCTTGTCTAGATGCTGGAGAATCCTTATTTCACTTGATCCTGTCTGTCAGCTCTGGCGATTTCAGGCACCTGTTCAGAGATGATATCACTATCAATATGAGCTTCTGTGTTCGAAGCTGACGAACATCGACAAGGAGTGATTCGCTTTCTCACGTTATAAGTTCCTGGGCAGTCGTGGAGTAAGCAGCCAATGTCTGAAAGTATACCATGGCATAGTTCAGTGAGTAAAAACAAAAGTCGGTATGAATCAGTCACATATAGTCTTAAATATGGCACACAGTCTGAAACAAGAACATACGGCCTGGACTAAGACATAGTCTAAAACAGTAACATATAGTCTCAAATAATAACATGTAATCTGAAATAAGATGTACAGACTGAAACAGTAACATACAGTGTGGAATATAACAAACAGTCTGAGACAATAAAATATAGAAGGAAACAATAGCATGTACTCTAAAAGAATGAAAATTAGTGTAAAAATAATAACAAATTGTCTGCAAAAAATGAAGTCTGAAACTATAACATATAGAAGACATACGGTCTGAAACTACAACGTATAGTCTAAAACGGTAGAATATACTCTGAAAAACAACATATCGTCTAAAACTATAACAGGAAAGACAGCATTAAGACAAAGTCTGTGTCTGAAAGTATCTCATCAAAAGCAACAAACAGCAGTGTGACAAACTGACAGTAAAACACGAAGGACATCTCTTCTTGTCTAGTCCCGACATCTCTTCTTGTCTAGTCCCGACATCTCTTCTTGTCTAGTCCCGACATCTCCTCTTGTCTAGTCCCGACATCTCTTCTTGTCTAGTCCCAACATCTCTTCTTGTCTAGTCCCAACATCTCTTTTTGTCTAGTCCCGACATCTCTTCTTGTCTAGTCCCAACATCTCCTCTTGTCTAGTCCCAACATC